TGAGCCCAGAAGCTGCCTGGCTTGGGGAAGGTATAAGGGGGTCTCTGGGCTCTTTCTAGGAGAGAAGCCTGGCTCCTGCCTCTGGGTTTGTGAGGTTAGGGCCACCATGTTCAGTACTGTGGCAGTCCCCTCTTCCTGGTGGAGGCACGAGTGACCATTGCTGGCTGCCTCTTTGCTGTCCTCTGCCCAGGTTTGGCTTCTTTGTCTCCTTACCTCTCCCCCAGTGGTTTCCCTTCTACCCCAGGCTTGATACAGTTCCCATATCATGTTATCCCAACTTTCAAAAGAAAGGTTAGCTGTCAGGGAGAAATGGCATAGGGATCAGGACAAGGATATTTAGGTTCTAACTGGGCTTTCTCTCTATCTGACTCCAGGAGGGGCTCTCTCTGGGTCTCAGTGCCTACATCTGCTAAATGGGGTCATTCCTGCCCTGTGTATTCCATCACGTGAGGGAATTAATGTGAAAACACTCTGTTAAGTTCCCCAACACAGGGCTCTGAGGTCCCTGGCCTTGGCCTACTTACCAGCTGTGTGACCTGGGGCAAGTTGCTGTCTCTCTGACCCTGGGGCTACTCCCATGAGTGGAGGCTCCCATGACATTGTAGCCTCCCGCCTCACTCTGGGACTGCATACTGAGCCCTCAGCGAATGATGGTGATTATCATGCATTTTAAAGAAGACATCAAAACATGTGGATGTTGGATGATTGAGAAAATAGGACTACTTGTGAGTCAGGAGGGAATTCAGACGAGCTGGGATCCTGAGAGCAGAAGGGTGTTTTCTTCCATGTGGAATTTTCTGTCCTGCTTTTGGAGAAAAAGGAGAAAATGAGCTGTGTGGGGGGGCCGCACTGCCCTGTGGCTGGCCCTCGGCCTGTCTCTGTGCCTCCTGCGGTCCTCAGGCTGGTGTGACCTTGCCTAGGAGCTCAAAGGCCTCAGCATCGGTGGCTGTGCAGGGGCCCCAGGGCTGGGCTCTGTGGGCAGCCCCCTGCTCCATCCGCCCCTCCCCACCTCCAGCCCTCCCCTCCCCTTCCATCTCCTGTCGCCTGCAGGAAGACGGTCTAATGAGGGTGCGGGGCTGCCTGCTGGGGCGGCCAAAACTGCACCGTCAGCACTTCTTCAGTGCCTCATAAATTCACAGAAAAACTCCCTGCAGACAAAAGCTCTGCGCCGCCCGGCTGTCTGCTCAGGGAGGCGTTTCTTCTAAAGGAAGAGTGGAAATCAGTTTCCAGGCCAC